ACTTCTTCTTCTTCTTTATTTTAAGGGCCCACGATCAATGAATTGATCATTCTGGCTCCTATGTTTCAGAGGGGTTTGCGATGTTACTGTCCATGGGTTTCAATGGGATACTTCACTGGTTGCAAGGGCGACTCAGCAGTGGTGTTATGAACTGGGGGTTGGAATACAGGAGGCAATAGACACAAATGTCTCGAGTTTAGCCGCCTCAACTGTTGCTTTTGGAAGCTTGTTCCAGTCCCCTAATTCGGATATCGTTTTAAGACCAAACTGATGGCCATGTCACACGCCATGTGAGGACCTGCACCGATCAAGAGTGTCACTGCACCGAGGCTAAGGTGTACTTTAAGACAGGCACAATGATATCACGAGGTCATGACAGAAACGATACAGTGAGCCATAACGCACGCCAAGTTCTGTCATCCAATTAAAAGGTGGCGCCACGGTTTGTTGTGTTTTGTTTTTAAACTCCCCAAGCCGTATGCGGCTTCACGGTCAGGCGTGCGATGGGAATGGTTTCAGACTCAAGATGGCCGCCTGTTTGCCTGCATGGTTCGGGGGCAAATTTAAAACCTCTAAAACTGATCTTTGAAGAAAGCTGGAATCAAGTTTTGAAATTAAACAAGAGCTTGAAGAAAACGGTTACCGGAAATTTGATCGAAAGGAAATTTGGTCGAGTCTTTTTTTTTTTCAGTTCACACGTTAAAATTTTCGTCAAATTTCGTCGACGAAATTTCTTTCGATCAAATTTCCGGATGCGAAAGAAAACTGCTCACAAAAAGGCGTTAAAAATCTAACTGAAAATGTTTTGACAGCTTTTTGAAAGGAAAGGTTTGATAGCAGTGTGTCAAACCATACCACGGGAAGGGGAAGGGAAGGGGAAAATGATTGCTTATAGCGTTTCAAGACTATCGTTTTGGTAAGTTGAATTTTAGCACAATCAAAGCCACTTTGTCTGCGAAACATACAAGCCTACTTGCTGGCCCCGAGCGTCATGCAGTTATTAATTATATTTACTCAGTTTTAATTGTTGTTAAATGATGAATTCAACACTAAAACTTATATGCATAAACTGATACTTTTTTTTTCGTCTATTATCCATCCATCCCTGGGGTGCTACAGACCATGTAGGGTTTTTAACCTGCCTCACCGCTTCCTTCCACTCAGTGCTGATGCTTTTCTTTCCCAGTCTTGGATTCCCAGCTGCTGTAGATCTTTTTCCGCATCATCCAACCATCTACGCCTGGGTCTACCCTTGAGCCGTTTTCCTCTGGGGTTTTGGTGGTACACCCTCTTCACTCCTCTGTCATTTGGCATTCTTTCTAAGTACACCGCCTGTCGTAGCCTGCCCTTTTTTATTTCTGCTAGTAGCGTGGGATCCTGATACAGAATGTACGATTCCTGGTTGGTTCGTATTCGCCACCCGTATCCATCCTTCTTTGGTCCGTGAAAGCATAATTTTTTTTTTCTTATGGCCTTATCCTCGTGAGTGCATTGGTCCTATGTTTGTTGACCTGTCCTAGAGAGACTCGTGCATGGATGCTTAATGAGCACATTTTCAGATATGGATCGTTTTAAACCTAAGTTATTTATCTTATTTTTTGTCATGTGTTCACTTGTTTCCAGTGTGACGTAATTTCCCACTTAGAGTCTGCGTCTGAAACTATTAAATTAACTTCAAAGACTGAAATTATTTGATATCTTCATGTATAAAATGAGTTCTAAAATAAACTCATTGTTTTTTATAATCTCTCTGTACTGAGGTCTCCAATGCACTTTGTAAAGTTGACCCTATTCTCTCGTTTAATATTCCGGTAAATTTCTGCATCCATTTGCATTATGACACGTGATCAAAAGCCACAAGGTCGGTTTAGTTACGCAATAAACGTATGGCAGGGGCGTATTTTGTGTGTTTGTGGGGGGGGGGGGGGTTAAATTTTTAAACTTAACCAGTT